TTATTACTCGTAACGATCTCTCCTGGCTAAGCTGATACGTATGAAAATTCGCATTCGTTTCTGAGAGGTACTTCACTATTATTCGGTAGGTTTCAGCAGTATCTGGTGTTATTTTTGTATCGTTGGTCCTGTTAAGACATGAATAACTGCCAAAGTAGATTTTATTTAGTTGGGTGCAGAACAACTGGAAATTTTTTATATTGTTCACAAATATCGGAGGAGGCCTTGGTTCTGTGGGTATTGCTGCAGACTCCATTACCTCTCGGTCATTTTGAAGCACTTGGTAGGGGTTTGGAGTAAAGAAATGGGATTCTTCCTGGTTGTGGCTGAGGTTCTGGTTCTGAAGTGTTCACTTTTGTTGTTGGAGATGTTTCTCGTAGGCAGCGACGAGACCTTTGTTTAGCTGGTGAGCTAGCTCCGTCTGAGCGGGTCCTCTTGGGCACCTTACTGGATATCACTTGGTGAGTATACAGCAAACCATAGGAGAAGAAAGAAAGAAAGAAAAAAAAAGGAAAAAAAATAATAATAAAAAAAATTATAAAAAAGATTTATCCAACAGCAATATCAACTGCTCTGGTGTACACGTGAAATGTATTCAAAAAAATCAGAGAGATTCCACTTAAAAATAGGCAGATACTGAGAGACCAGTTGACAGCACAACCATCCAATCAACTGATACACTGCCTTCTAATATTTGTAGTAAAGAAAATATTTGATCCATAGACGAACGGTGCCGCTTAAATCAACATTGGTAATCTCTAATAATTTCCTCGGCGTAGTCCCTGATTCGATTAGTTAAGATTAATGTGAATATTTTATAACATACCGGAAGGAGTGAAATTTCTCGATAGTCATTACAATCCGTCCTCGGGCCCTTTTTTCGAGTTGGAATAAGAATAGAATCTTTCCATTATCCCTGATCCCAACCCATAACTTGTCTGTATCATCTCAGTCCTCTTCAGAAGGTTCTAAAGCCTCGAACCTATTCTTAACTTCAGGTTCCAATTGAGTTCTAATTGATGGATTTTTTAATTTTTCCAAATTGAAATTCTAGGAATAGAAACGGTTTTCTTACTCTTTTTACTTTCCTTCCTATACTAGGTAAGGAAAGTATTGCGATCGGGTCAAATTTCCCGATATGCGGATGTATACGTTTCAAAGCCCTATCCGAGTCTGAAAAACACCAGAGAGTCCGAAAAACACATTTTTAGCCATTGGTATATCTGTCTAAGCCAAGATTTTCTCGGGAACTAGTAAACCGATTTTGTTGCTTCTTTTTTATTTTGTATGGTTTTAACTACTGATGCCGGTGACACAAATTGGGAGCTCCATGCTCAATAGCTGCTGCGCAATAAATGGAAAACGTATTTTTATATGGACTGTAGCGCAAAAACGGCTCTAATGATTTAGATGAAACTTTCCTATTGTTTAGGGTTGATCACTCTAAATTGATGTTACTTCCCCCCCCCCTTCATGGGGTACATGTAAAGGACCAGCCAGGTAGGTAACACTGCAGCGACGGTGGCGCTGTATGCACCAAAAGGCAGTAAGAAAAAATGGGCGACTGACACGAGAAGAAGACGAATACTCTATCCTCTTCAAGACCACCTTTCTTGCTGTTCTACCATGGGAAGAGGCATGGAGTAGAACACTGAGACCTACCGGACACATGGAGGTGAGAAGCGTAGCAGCCGGCCGACCACCGATACCGACCACCGTACCTCAGACATCAAGTAAACGATTGTAACCATTATACGCCAAACCCCCATCTTTATATACTGTTTAAATATAATTATAGTTCATTTCATACAGTCCACTTGTTCTTTCAAACACCCAATAAACATCTGTACCATATCATATTAAAAATGACGGTACATCCCATTTCACCTATAATGTTTTTATAATTGTCCTTTCAATTTTCGTGCAGAAAAGAAAAATATTTTGGGGCCTAACTGGCTGACTATATATTCTATGGTAAAATTTATAATAAAACTTTTGAAAGATAATTAAATTACCAATACAACAAAAAAATCATAGGAATTGAACCAGTATTAGCGATGATACAGCTTATTCTGTTTTCTACAGATGTTTTAATTTATTACTTTTGTACCTATACTACGTTAAGAAAAGTATTGCGATCTGGTCAAATTCCAATATGCGGTTTTCGACGGATCTTTACGTTTCATAGCCCCCTAAGTCCGAAAAACACACTTTTAGCCATTGGTCTGTCTGTCTGTCTGTGCCAAGATTTTATCGGGAACTAGTGAACCGATTTCGTCTCTTCTGTTTTTTTGAAAGGTAATTAAATTCTCTACAAAGCTATATAAAAATCGTTCATTTTGGACAACTATTAACGAATTTACAGTTATTCAATTTCCAATGTAAGATTACGGGTTCATATCCTGGTGTCAGAAAAGGATGAATGAGAGAAAAAAGATAAAAGTGGAAGTAAAAGTAATTAATCTGTTGCCCGCATCACACAAGCTTCACTATTTCCTCTACTTTTAACAGAAATTATTGTTTCACAAAATTAGGCTATGACAAAAAGTTTTTGTTCAGCAATGTTAGAAAGTATTGACATTTTTACACTGATCTACCTTAAACCGGTTTACATTGCTTTAGTTTATCAAATAAATCTTACTCAAATCTTTTCTCTGATCAATTTTCAGCAAAATAAATCTAATTCAATTTTTGTTTTAGTTTCTTGATGAACATATGTTAAGATATAAAAACTTTCCTGACATATGTAGGAAAGTCGTGTGAGTGGACCCACCAGATTTTTTATATTAAGTTTTTGTCAATGTCCTCTTGTGATGTCATGCTATTTTATTCCTTTGTTCACATTTACTGAATGTATTTTTACTTGTAATACAGTAGTAAATATCACCAATAAAAAAAAAAAAAAAAAAAAAAAAAAAAAATTCTGAAAGAAAGGATGTCAATAAGCTGGTTAGATCTGTAGCATTAGGCGGTGGAGGAACTTATTGGATTTGATGTTGGTGAGGTTGTTATGATTAGGTACATTAGGTGGGATAGGATATTGAGATTGGGGTTGAGTTTGTTCTTGCGGCAGGGCCTCACATACATTAGTCGGGTCTCTACCCCCAAGTAGCTTGGCAAAAGAAACCTTAGAGTTCACAATTTTAGCGGGTCCTCTTCTTGGTTTAGGTGTATCATCAGGGTCCCTGGGTTTCATATATCTCGCTTTAAGATTTTTATAAATTTGGCAGCCTTTGTAGTTGGCTGGATGGCCTTCCAGGCATAGGGCACAGACTGCTGGTTCTGTAATTGATTTATTACACTCATCAGACTTGTGTGTTTTACCACATTTCACGCAGCGTGGTAAGTGGTGGCAATAAGACTTGGTGTGGCCATATGCTTGGCAATTATGGCACTGGATGAACTCTCTTTTTGGGTACGGTTTTTCGACCTTTACGCTGGTGTAGAAAATTCTATTCACATCGTATATTTTTTCGATCCCAGGCGATGGCTCTAGATCGACGAAAAATAAGGGCAATGGGATTTTATTCTTTACACCTGGTTGTTCTTTATTTTCTTTTAAAACATTGGTTATCTGACGTATTTTGAACCCTAACGCCGTTAACTCTTCTTTAATTACTTCTATTGGGGTTGAGGAGTGTAAATTTCTTATTACAACTCGTAGTGCTCTTTCCTGTTTCAACTGGTATGTGTGAAAGTCCGCATTTGTGTCTGTTAAATATTTTACGATTTTTCGGTACGCTTCAGGTGTGGCCGGTATTATTTTTGTATCATTTATTCTGTTTAGGCATGTATAGCTACCTGGGCAGATTTTATTAAGTTGAGTACACAACAACTGGAAATTTCTCAAACTTTTGACAAAGATAGGAGGTGGGCGTGGTTTTCGAGGTATAGGTGCATCTTCCATTTCTTCCCTGTCATTTTCAAGCACCTGGTATGGATTAGGTGTAAAAAATGAAGATTCCATTTCTTGTGAAGACGTACTTGGCAGTGGTTGAGACACAGATACTTGAGTGTTCGCTGGAGGAGTTCCGGGGGGTGTTAATCGCTTACTACGACGTGTTTTCTGTTTAGGCGGTGAATTACGTGGGGTAGAGCCAACTGAATGGGACCTCTTAGTTGACATTACTTGGTGGTAATATCGCATATAAAAAAAAAAGAAAGGAAAAAAAAATAAATAAATAAAACTACGTCTGCGTGTTATTACAATGGATGAACCGCCGGCTGAGAACCGGCCAGTTACGTGGCGAGGCCACAACTGGAGAGGGGAGCCGTCAGCTGTTATGGCTATAGAGATTAAGCCTATAGACGCTAAATCACTAAATTCACTGTCTGTAATAGTACACAGTAAATAACAACACTACTCACTGTGGTGTTAGTCCATTGTTGTTGTTTTGATGTCTGCTTAACTAGTTTTTTTTAAAAAAAAGTAAAACTGAGCACTTATTCTACTAAAAAATAGTAAAACTGTGGGACACGACGTGAAATGTGGGTATTCAAATCAAGCGCATGCCCAGAACTCTCAAGGGAATTATGAAAATTTAGTGTCTAATAAATTAATGAAGGCAAAAGACCACGTGGGAGGCCAAAAACCAGATGGATAGATAGGATAAACAAAGTTACGGCTGAGCTTCATGCCGCAAACTGGAAAGCAGTAGCCCAAGATAGACAGAGGTGGAGAAGGCTGGTTCAGGCGGCCAAAGATCTACAAGGTCTGTAGAGCCAACCAAAAATTAAAAAAAAAAAAAAAAAAGTTAATGAATAATAAGGGCATGAGTGTAAAAATGAGTGTTGCTGAGGTTCATTTACTGTCTAGATTAGATATATTTTTTGCTCATGATACATTCAGAAGTTTAATGTCCTAGAACTCTGTGTCGTAATACAACTTTTTCTCCTCGTGAAGATTAAAAACTAAATAGCGTATTATAAATACATATATTGATGAAGAATTTTAAAATTATTTTAACCTCCTATGTTTAACAATTCTTTTTGAATTTCAGTCATCATCATTGATAGTGGAAAAACAGACCTATCAAAAGTAGAAGGAGTAAATAAAGATGCAAGTTTTTTATACAGAACTGAAAAAGATATTGAAAGTGAAACTAAAATCACTCGTTCAAATGATGAAGATTGTGAGTACAAGTCCTATATATTCCAAATTTTCATACTACACAATTAAATTTTTACAAATCGATATCAAGAAAAATTAATCCGATTAACTGTCTTTTACACAAGAGATATAACAAGCTAATATTTAATCATGAAATATTAGGTGGGGGGCGGAAAGCAATTTCGTTTTCTTACATTAAATTCAAACAAATTAATTTAACACTAGTTTTTATTTTAAATCATTGATAGAATCCCTCACATTATTAAAAACCTTTTGCCAACTAGTATGCAAGTTTTCTCAATTCATTCGTTTTTTTCCAGTGTTCTTGGGTCTTATGCATGCGATCTTGCATTTTCGTGTTGCTGAATAAAACATTTTCTCTTGAAAATCGCTGGCCACTTTTCAGTTTAAGATTTATTTACACCGTCCAATTATTCACAATAAAGGTCTGCATCTACAGGTTGTTCAGGTTTCAGAACTTCAAAATGAGCAACGCCGGGAATTAGTGTTGCCCAAAATCGGTCAAGACCAAAGACCGCCTCACAGTTGCATAACAAAGACCAATACTGATAAAAAAAATCGTTTTAGGGAATAAAATTTAGGCAAATTGGTTGCTAATACGTAACGATTTTAGTCACTATATGGAAAGAATTTGTATAACCAATATACTTTTGCATTTAACTCTTAGTTAGTTAGGGCTTAGTTAGTTATTCCCGGTCTGAAAAATTACAGTAATATCTCTCTAGTAATTGGCTACTAGATAACTACAAGACTGTTGCAAGACTCAAGACCAAGACTGAGTAAGCAAAACCAAGACTCGTCTTGGGCAACACTACATATCTCGCATTTGGGCAACACTACCGAGAATACTCCACCAAACACACAGAAAGGCCTTTTGGAGGAGTAACCCTGGCTTAGCAGTACATCGTGGCAAATCTTTTGGAAAGAGACACTGCCTTTTGTGTTTTGAATTAACATACAGGGTCCACTTTTCATCTTTGGTTATCAAGCGATCAAAAAACGCTTCTCTATTGTGCCGTTGAAGCAATAACTTTCATATGGTGGTTTCCCAATCTGTTGCAAATATTCTTGGATGGTCGACCAAGGTTGGTTAAGACTGTTTGACAATTCCTGATTTGCTTCGACTTCTGCCCTTAAGAAGTCATTACCTAACGTTGTTGATCTTCGTAATACGAGACAGAAAGATCAAAATTACCGGATTTGAACTTGAAAAACCACCTTTGGCATTTACGAAGGTCTAATGCTTTTGGATAAACATCTCAAATATAGTTGATTGTAACTGTTTCTTTACTACCCTTGCGAAATTCAAAAAGTATGCAATGCCAGATAGGTACCTTTTCTGGTATTTCGCTGGCCATTTAACCTTAAATTGCAAAAATAAAAAAAATAATTTAATTATTTGCAACTAAGGTAGTTCAGTATCGGAATGTCAGTATCCGCATTAAAAAAAAAATTATCTGATGGAGAATATTCATGAGGATATTCGCTTGAATGTCTTCCAAAACTATATGAGCAGAAGCTTCAACAATGCGGAGTCTTTCTCTATGGGTGTCTGTCTACCTTTTTATTATCATATCAACTATCGTTGAGTACTTTGTAATCAACATTCTTAAAGCAAACGACTAATGACTTATCTCGGCTACATCTTCCCCGAACTTTTTCAAAAGATGTTGTTTGACTGTCATTGCGTCAGGAACAATGTCTCCATTATTTGAGAAGAGACATTTTCAGCAGGAAATACCGGCTGAACAACGCCTTGTCTCATACCTGACATGCTTACATTTTTTTTTATGTATTCCTTCTTTAGTGGATGAAGAATGCGGAGGCCTCTGCTGCTGTGGTCCAGTCACTGGTCCTCTTTGAGAAGCCTGGGGTTGTTGCGGATGTTGTGGTAGTGCAGGGAAGTCTTGTAGTCCCATTGGGGGAGCGGTAGGTTGAGGCCTAAGATGAGATTGTGATCGTAAAGTTTTTAGTTTTCTAAGTTCATTCAAGATATGGCATTTTCTATAGATAGTTTTCTAGATGTGCTCTTTGGCAGTTGGCACTCTTAGTGGGTGTATACTTTGATTTTAAACATGAAAAGTTATCATGTTTTTGCCCACGGTGCATGGTGGTATCATGGTGCATGGTTACAGTTGGTCTTAGTATGTACTGTTGGCATATATTGCACTGGGGTATCATCCTCTTCTTCCTTGGTTCTGCATCCGAGTGTAATACGTACTATTTATCTCAAAAATACTTTCGTTAAATGTTTGTTTTATGATATCCAAAAAAAACATAGACAATGGCTCTTTGTATCGTGATGATACATCGGTTACATTTACTGCCTCATAACCAAAAGATTTTAGTTCTTCAATAATAGCTGATTGTGGAGTTGAATAGTATATTTTTTTTATTACAACTCGTGGACATCTATCCGCGGGTTGTTGAAATGTATGGAAGTCAGCACCATTTTTTCTGAGAGCGTGTACTATTTCACGATAAGAGCCTTGGTTGTCGGAATAAATACAAATGTTTTTTACATTTGATTTTAGTTCAAATGTTGAACCACAGACATTTTGCAGGAATTCTATAAATGAAAGGTAATTTTCAACACCATTAACATAATTAGGCGGTGGGTTATCATCAATTACCGTTTGAGCAGCTTGCTGCGGTCGAACTTCTTCATTTTTTCTCAATATTTGAAACCTGTTATGTGTTAATATAGATGCTGCAGTGGCGGTTCTCTTTTGTTTTCTTGCGTTTCCCTCGACATCAGAATGACGCTTGCGGCCTGTTACAGTTTTCTAGATACCTTGTTCATTTTGAGAAACTGATGTTTCTTCACTTGTGGTCTCTGTCGCCTAATAACCATTTTAAATTCAAGATAAACCTCATCTTAACAGAAAACTTCGGTCATTCAGCAGAAAGCCGTTGCTTTCTACGCGAAAAATTAAATTAAAGACACGAATTTTGACGATTCATTTAATGGATGAACATGCGGCTCAAATTTTGATATGATGTCAAGAATATGTCTCTCAAAGAGATTCACCTTGACTGACGATGCACACAGTTGCGTTTTGAAAACTGACGCGTCAAAGTCATCAAATTAGGCCAGTTAGATGAGAAAAAAAATCAAATAGTTGGTTTTAAGGCTTCGATGCCATGTGCTTAACTCTCTCATATATTAATGTATTTACATGAGGTACATAGAATATGTAATGCTCTTTAGAATTGATTATAATTATTTCTTTGAAAGGTGCATAGATTTTGAGTTTTGCGGTAAAAACCGACAAAAGATATTTCCTGTGCTGGCCTACATCAAAAAGCGTAGAAAATAATTACTTTCAACCGACTGACCGAATTTGTGTGTTCAGATAAGTTTTATCTAGAATTTAAAATGATTACTAGTTCTAAGTCATTCCGTTAAATGAAATGGTCGATAGCTCCTAGTATTTAACGTAGAACTGTGAGCAAGTGTCCGCAAAATGTGCTTAAGTTATCTTTTTAATCCCAAGGAGCAGAGGTGCCCAGAAGGGGGGTTGATGGCGAAACTTGCATCATGAAATTTTTGAGGGAACATATTTTGGCGGGTTTTTGAATTTTTGAGGAGGCACATTTCGGCGGGTTTATGAATTTTCGAAATCTAAAGTTTCATATTAAGGGACAAGCGGAATACATAGAACATAGCAAGTGTAATTTTAAATGATTTACGAACTGATGCTACTATAATTCCCTTGCTATGTTTTTAAGAAAAGGCAAGAAATAAAATGTTTTGGAAATGGGGGATAGGTTTTTTGTCCACCGTCCTTAGGGAGAATGGGCAACCATGCCAAGGAGTTATTAATGTTTACAGTTTGAGGATGCAATTGATAAAGGATTACGCTAGTTCCATTCTATTGCCAGAGAAATATTTATTGTTTTTATTATAAAAAAATGTATCGAACTTTTTAGGTGATCCTTTAATTTTGTCCATCAGTGTATATTCAGAATATGCTTAGACCACGAGCGGATCTTGGGTGAGGGGCTTTGGGGCTGAAGCCCTCTCCCAAAATGGTAAAATATAACCATGTTTTACGGAACAAAATATTAAAAAATTATCTCTTAAAGTATTATTGTTCGTGTAATTACATTTAAAAGAACTCACTTAAAAACACCATTCTATATAGATAGTTAGTTTCTTTCTTTTTTTCCAAAGTAACTACCTTTATTTTTATGAAAAAAAAAAAAAGCATTCTGGCTGAAGCCCCTCCCTTAAAAAAAATTAAATCCTGGATCCGCTAGTGGCTTATACTACCTATTGTTATTAATCAGTATTACCTATATTTTTAAGTAAGATTAGCACATTTGCAATAATCATATCCTTGCTTACATTAAGTAACATAGCTTCTTGGTTTGCAGTCATTATCGTAAACAGTGACACTAAAGAGAAATCAGAAGATTCATCTAAAAAATCGATTTTATCAGAAAAATCAAAATCTTTAAAGACGGATAAATCTATAAAATCGCAAGACGGAGGAAATAAAGGTGCAGCTGAAAACAATAGTGATGGTAACTATAGAAAGATTGCTAATAACTTATTAACCTTATAATCTCTACTTTTTTAATTTATTCTCAACAACTATTCCTGTTTAGAATCATATCGGATTAATTTTAATTTTTGTAATTTTTGATATCTTGATATGAATAAAAACCACAACGTTCTTTTTGGAAGAAAAGGAAATATTAATATTAATTACTGGTACTGGTAATTATTGCAGGATATAGTCCAACAAGTGGATCTTTTAATCTTATCTAGAAGTTGCCACCCCCACCTGACCAGATTATTAATATCAGGAATATTTCTGTTAGGTAATGAATATTAACTGACCCAGGTGGGAATCTAACCCTAACCAGGTACTCTAGAATGCTTGCATTGATGTATATTAATGCAATTAATCAATCAGTGCCTTGATTGATATTAATGAAGACCTAATTCTTATTTTTAATATTGATTATTATATTATAAGAAAGTCCAATACATAACAGGTCGATGGTAGTAATATAGCTAATTACTTCTTGAGTTCATAGTGAAGTCAATATTTATGCTTCAATAAAAATTTTTCTAACATTCAGAAAAATTCTGTGGCATTAAAATGAAGAATAAATGCCTAAAATTATTTTCTTATAGATAATATATTTTCCTTAATATATACAATTATAAAATTATAACAGTCACAAGAAATGTTCGGTCTGTAATTTTTTTTTTATTTTAGTGCTTAAGTTATGCAACAAAAGAGTAAAACTCCTAAAAGAAAAATTAGATCAAATTCCTCAGCATCACTTGGGAAACTACAAAACTAGCACTGATGGTAAGTTCAAGATATTATTCCATACCATATATTTTTTTAGTCACAAAAAAATGTCTTCAGAATTCACCTTTATACAGTAAATTTTGTTTTTATAATGTATTAATTATAAAATACATTTTATTTGTTGGTAAAACATGAGCATTAAAAATCCCAACTCTATTTTGACAATAAAATAAAATACAGCCAATTCTTCAGTCATGTTTAAAGCACAGTATATGTATAATTCATTTATGTTTATATATGCGGATCTTGTTTTTGTGTTAATATCTATTTTATTACCATTTCAAGATTAATTTTGGGGAAAATATATTTCATCACTTTATAAAAATGATCACTTCAGTTTTGGTTCTGTTGAGTAGTAATCCCCATTTTGTAAGGTATTTAGATGTTTACTTAATTTTTCTCATTATCTATTGATTATGGTGTCAATTCTGTATTAGGAAGATAATAACACAGTATCATTAGCAAAACGGGTTATATTAATATTTTTTTTATTTTAGCATACTTATCAATAATAAATAAATTAAATAATATTGGACTCAGGCAAGATCCTTGAAGGAGACAAGTAAAAGTAGGATAAATGGAGAAAAATTAATTATTAGCTCATAAAAAAGGCTGTATTAATACTATTAGATGATAAGATATTAAGGTTTATTAATTTAAAAATCAGTAAATTCAGAGTTCAGTAAAGTATCAAATGATTTTTTTATGTCAATTAGGGTAATACGCTTATGTTTTTTATGATTAACATTATCAAAAACACCAGACTGGAATTAAAGGTATATATTTGTCAATTTTTAGTTATTTTACTTCAATAATTCAGGATTGTTTTAAATATTTCCAAAATGGTTGGGTATAATATTTTTCTGTTTTGAGTCATATGTGATGATCTAATGATCTGAATCAAAATCTGTCCCATAATAGCTTCTTATGTCTTGTATGGATCTTTGATTTCTCTTGTCTAAAAGCATATGATCAATATTTTTTTTCACCTTTGAGGCTTACCCACGTGTACCTGTGAATGTCCATGTGTGAGAACATCGTAGTGCTCATGACTATACACTTAGCTACTGCCAGACTGATACATCTCACTTCACTGTAAAGACTATGATAATGAGCTTAAATTGCTGTCTTCTTCCTATCTTGGCATTGAAGTCACCAATGACTAAATTTATGTCACGTTTATTACCATTCTAAAACAGTCTGATTTTCCAAGGCTAATTTTATTCTAGATTTCATAATAAGATGTTTTTTTATGGAATAGGATTAGTAGCCCTATTCTAACCCAAAAACGCAGACTTTCCAATTTGGTTGGGGAGCGATTTATCTCCTCTCCCAAAAAAGTCTCAAGATTTTATATGGTGTATAAAAATTATGTGCGATAATTAACATAATCAACATAATTATTGTAACAGGAAAAATTCAATACTATATATAAAAATAAATGTATATATAGGGTGTCCCGTAAGTAAATAAACCTAAACTTAATAAATATGAACTTAAACCTTATTAAGGAGAAAGTTTTTATAAAATTGGGGTATCTGTAGTGTAGTTGGAAGATGATCAAAAAATTATCGCAAATAATTTAAGATTTTTTTAAAAATAGAATATAGCTTAGTTTAGCCACTCAAAAGGCATCTTTAATTGGTTTTAACAATGACTAACTCTATTTTCATTTGAAGTACATTTTGTCCAGTTAACAGTGAAGCAATTATTAATTACTTAAATTAAATATTTCTTTAGTTGTCGTTTTCTATTCAACAAAAAGGGTGACTCACTTTAAAAAAAACAGAAAACTTTGATTTCCTACTTTTCTGCTGAAAATTGGCTCATTGTTTGTACTAACTTTTTTGTAGTTCTTGAGGTGTGCTATCACTCCTTTAAAATCTTCTTTCTATTTACAGGAAACCTTGTATATATGTTTTTTTTTTTTTGTATATTTGAAAATATGTCAACAAAGCAATTGAACATATTACATATTTTAATTTTTATTTAAAGGTTTTAGACAGTAAGATAAACTCTCAATTATCCGATGCTTCAAATTTGCTACAGGAAATTTAATAAGTTCTTCTCATAAAAATGAAAGGTTGCACATGAATCAATCATAAAATCCTAGGATAGGTCTTGGGGCATTACTACATACGGCATGGTTAAATACTTGCATACCTATTTCTTGGCCTTAGCTTAGCCATCTAGTTGACTTTTCCTGTTGTCTTAATTGATTTTAGTTAGCATATTTTATTCATTAATGTAGATTAATTGTTATTGATTTTGATTTGTTTTGTTCTTCGAAACATTAGGGGAGGGCGATATTCTCACCTCCTCTCTATTTTTGGGAGGGGACAACCACCTGAAGTCTGCGCCTATATGCCCAACCATCAACCTGGAGTACCAGGAGCTAGACATAGAGATCACTCATTTTCCTGTGAATCTTTGGATGTATATGTGGAATTCTTTTTTTTTTTTTTTTATTCTCATGAACATGATCACTTCATACATAGAGAGGCTTTTTATTTAAATTTTTATTAATAAAAAACCTATCTATAGGTAGAATGTATTTTTGTAACCTTCTTAATACACTCGACCTCCCCAGCCCCTAATAACCCATTATAATATTAAATTAAATGTTATAAAAATTAGAATTCTTTAAATTTAGTAATTATTATGATTTATTAAAAATAAATGTTACAATTAATCGAATGTTAGTAAATCTAGGTGAATCATTACAGTATATGTTGTTAAAAATTAATGTTCCATGAAGTCATGAAATCTTCAAAGAAAAAGAAATTAATTTTTCATGATGTATATTTTAATAACCAAATTAATAACTTAATCTACATACTGAAATGTTTGTTTGTTTATTTGAATTTAACATTGTGTATGTACTCCTACTAGAATGGGTTATTGTGTATTAATCAATCTATTCTGTCCTAAGTGAGAAGGTAGAAATTTGTTCCATAGAACTGCTACAAAATAAATTTCAATATGCTTGGGCTAAATTCAAGCTGACATCACTTAAATAATTAAAATATTTGACATGATTGTAATAATATCTGTTTTCTGTTTTAGAATTGAAAACTTGCTCAAATACAAAAGAATTGATGCTAAGCAAATTACATAAAATATCAATACCCAACTTTAGGACAGTTAAAGGAGATATTGATGGTGAGTTCTGGCTGTATAATAAATTTAGCTTAATTAGTTGATCGTTAAATAGGTTGGATACAGTAAAAAAATTAATAAATTAATAAAATCTTTCTAATTAACTCAGTAATAAAATTTTTAAACTGTTTTAGCCCTGAAAACATTGCTTAATGATACAAAATCATTAAGACATAAATCACATAATACATCAAATCCTGATTTAAGATTAGCTATAACTGATGATGGCGGTGAGTTTAGAATTTTCACATGAATATAGGCTTATTGTATATTAAAATTCCATAGAATAGAATAGAATAGAATAGAAAATCATCTTTATTCTGGGACTAGGTCCCTTTAGAATAACAGTATTGTTCATATATATTAACTACAAATCTGGTCAAAAGACTTATTACAATGAATAATGACAAAATACATGTAATACATTAAGTATTAATTAAGCTCTTAGGATAAATTAACGAGGACAGTTTGGTAATAGGGGTTCAGTACTACAATATTGGAGCTAAAATAATTGCATAATAATCACTGAATGAAATTATAAAGGAAAGTAAAATCTATTTTATAGGTAAAGCATTGTAGTGATGGAATATAAAAATTTAAAAAAATAATAATAACTGTTAATATGTAGGGAAAGAAATTGTAAAAACTAAAACAAAAAAATATATAAAAAAACAAATAATGATATACATATGTTCCCTAAGATATTTAAGTGATTATGCGTAAAGATTAGGAGAAGAGAAAATAAAATAAAGTATATATATACACATAGCGAGAAGTATGTTGAAGATAATTAGAAATAAAATACATTTCACTGAAATACATTCCATGAATAACAAATTAGAACTTAAGGAAAACAAATTTTATCTACTCACAATGCTTAGTGAGTGGTGATGAAAATTCACGTTCAACACAGAATAAAACAATAAAAAATAAGAGAAAAAAAATAATGTCTAAAGAAAATTAAATCCTTATAACATAGTATGTATTTAACCAGCGTCTGATTGGATTGTGAAGAGGAATTGGAATAAGAGGGTTTTAAAGGTGGATAAGGATGATGCATGGCGGATTTTTAGTGGGATGGAATTCCAGAATGCGGTGGAACGGACAACGAAGGAATGTTTAAATGATGCAGATCTGTGGAAAGGAGTGTAAAGGTCAGAAGGACGAGATCTTGTGGAGAGGGTGTGGATAGATGATTTGAATTGTAGGAGATTGTATGCGTAGGACGGACGATGACTATTGATTATTTGGTAAAGGAATGTGCCTAGGAAATATTGTCTTCGGAAGGAAGGGAAGAGCCATCCTAATTCAGCATAGTGGTGCGAAACACGGGAATACCTCAGGGCCCCTGTGACAAATCTTACGAAGGCATTCATAATTCTTTTCAGTCTCTCCCCGAGTTCTGCCGAGAGGCCACCGTACACCACGCAGCCGTAATCAAGGTGGGGGAAGATGAGGGAAGTTACTAGGAGTCTACGTGTGGAGATGGGTAGGAGATGGCGGAAGCGATGGAATAGTTTCAAGGTACCAATTGACTGTCGGGTAATGTGAGCAATATGGTGTTTCCAGGATAGGGTTTGGTCTATGAAAATGCCTAGGTTTTTTACTGAGGAGGTGAAGGTAATGGGATGGTCATTTAGGTACAGTATAGGTATGTTGGTATTGGCTCTGAGAAGGGGTTTGGAACCAATGACAATGGCTTGAGTTTTTGCAGCGTTTAACCTTAACCCATTTAAGTTTGCCCAGGGACTGATCCGATTCAAGTCTTCTTGAATTTTGGCAAACGCTTCATGCAACTCTGAGGGACCGAAGGAAAGGTAAATTTGGGAGTCATCGGCGTAAAGGTGATGGGAGCAGTGAAGGATTGAATTATGGATGTCATTGATATAAGAACTAAAAAGGAGGGGAGATATGCTAGAGCCCTGGGCCACTCCTGCGGACAAAGTAAGATAGGAAGACAAGCTTATTATGATATACCATATCATAATATACTTATATATAATTTATATAAGTATAATTCCATATACATATTATGATAATTTAATGAATCCCTGAAAGGCTTATGACGGATGGAAGGTCCTCTCATATACGAGTTGATGTCATTCTGGCTGAGTTGGTAATATGCTCTCAGAAACTTGCCTTATAATGGTTCATAAGTGCTTGTTGATTCATCGAAGGCTTGACTATTTATCTTTCAAGAAACACTTTCCTAGAGCTAACTATAATTCATCTCTAATTTAATTATTTCGAATTATTTCCAAGCCAATAGTTCCAGCTTTTCCACTTCAAATATATCCTTTTCCATTCTAAATATAACTTTTTCCATTTCAAATGTATGCCTTCCCATTCTAAATATTACTTTTTCCGAGTGAGAGAGAGAGAGAGAGAGAGAGAGAGAGAGAGAGAGAGAGAGAGAGGAGAGAGAGAGAGAGAGAGAGAGAGAGAGAGAGAGAGAGAGAGAGAGAGAGAGAGAGAGAGAGAGAGAGAGAGAGAGAGAGAGAGAGAGAGAGAGAGAGAGAGAGAGAGAGAGAGAGAGAGAGAGAGAGAGAGAGAGAGAGAGAGAGAGAGAGAGAGAGAGAGAGAGAGAAGAGATGAGAGAGAGAGAGAGAGAGAGAGAGAGAGAGAGAGAGAGAGAGAGAGAGAGAGAGAGAGAGAGAGAGAGAGAGAGAGAGGAGAGAGAGAGAGAGAGAGAGTAGAGAGAGAGAGAGAGAGAGAGAGAGAGAGAGAGAGAGAGAGAGAGAGAGAGAGAGAGATGAGAGAGAGAGAGAGAGAGAGAGAGAGAGAGAGAGAGAGAGAGAGAGAGAGAGAGAGAGAGAGAGAGAGAGAGGAGAGAGAGAGAGAGAGAGAGAGAGAGAGAGAGAGAGAGAGAGAAGAGAGAGAGAGAGAGAGAGAGAGAGAGAGAGAGAGAGAGAGAGAGAGAGAGAGAGAGAGAGAGAGAGAGAGAGAGAGAGAGAGAGAGAGAGAGAGAGAGAGAGAGAGAGAGAGAGAGAGAGAGAGAG